CGGCAATGTTTATCGTAGGGGAGGAGCTCCGGAAGAAAGGTAAGGATGAAGAATATGTCTGCTTATATGTTTATGTGATTTCAAACTTTATTGTTATAGTGGCTCTTTCAAAATATTTTGGAGATTTATTTAGGGAATTGATAGATTTAGGAATTAGATACTTGACTTACCGTCCGACCTCTGTTCCCACCTCGCCTACGCGAGCTCACCGGGCCGGGTCGTGACATTGTTATGGGTTCAAAATTCAAGGTAAAATGAGGACAGAATATCTATTGGTGTTTTTAGTCTCAAGGTTTTTAAGGTAGTCGGTTTATGAGATATGTGGCAATCAGAAGGGCTACTTTTAGTAGGATTTGGGCACATTGTGGTGGAATAGAAGTGTATGGGTTGAGGCAAGAAGATGACCATATTTTCTTTATGCAACTCTATTTTGTTTTGGGATGTGAGTGCAGGAAGAATCATGAATGATACATTCCATTTGAAAGTAGGAGGGTAGGATTTGGTTAAGTAATCTTTGGCATTGTTGAAATAATTTTTATTTTTATTTTTATCCCGAATTGGTTCTGGATCATAGTGTGAAAAATGGAGAGGATAATGCTAGCATTAGATTTATTTTTGTGAAGAAAGATCCAAGAGACTCGAGTGTAGTTGTTAATGAAGGATACAAACTATCGAGCCCCTGAAATGTTAGAGATTTTTTAGGGTCCCTAGATATCATTATGAATAAGATATAATGGAGTATGACATCTCTCTTTTTTGTTTGAAAAAAAATTCGTTTATGATTGGCTAACTCATATGTTTCACAATAAAAGGATTATTTTCCCAACTCATAAAAAAGTTTTGGATACATGCTTTTTAAGACATCAAAAGATGAATGTCCTAATGTAAAATGATAAAGTCAAATAGTAGATTTTTTATAAAATAGAGATAACATAGAACCACCATTATTAAATATATCGTAGGTTTTGATAAAATAGAGATAACATAGACTGGGATGGGTTGATTTATCGTAGTGTTAGTTTGTGATGTCCCTTTTTGTCCACTTATTTGATTTCACTTTTTACTTGGGGCTTTCCATGTAACTTCTATTAGGTCTCCTTTGTATGTCTTGATTTTTATAATAGCTACACCAAATGGAGTCTTTGTCTTTAGGTTTTGAAGAATCCTTGCATCTTTTCTTTTATATCGTCTCTTTAGTTGTCACCATTACTGAACCTTCAACAACTTTTGGTTCTAGCATTATCATCGTTGGCTTTCCTCAGCACGAATAAGAGAAATTTTCTCATTTAGTGAAGACATCTCCACTTTGCCGAGGATTTGAACTCTAACATGGTCAAACACCGCGTTTAATCTTGTAAGAAAGTCATATATTCTATTTTTCTCCATAAAGCTTTTTAGGATAGCAATATCTTCTGGACACTTGGTCTCTATACATCTATAATGATCAAGCTGTTACAACGAGCCTTAAAAAAGTGGCATATTCAATCACGGTCTTGCTTCCTTGCTTTGCGTTTCCCACATTGACCTAAATTTTGAAGACTTGAGTAGCATCTTGAGCTTTTGAGAATGTTTGTTGGTGACTTCCCATATGTCCGTTGCAGTAGTATGAACATGAAAGTATCACTAATTTTTGGAGTCATGGAATTTCATAACCATGACATAATCATGGAGTCCGCTTCATTCCATGCTAAAAAATTAGGATCTCCTTCTTTTGGTCCTATCTCAAGGAGACGATTCATATTTCCTTTCCCTTTCAAGTATGCCTTCATAAATTGATACCACTTCAAATAATTCTTCCCATTTAAGTGATAGAAGGTTATGTATTTTGGAGGTATTCTTTTCCTTGGTGCACCATAGTGTCTTTCATTTGGTTAAAGCTTCAGGAGGAATTTGCTTCAGACATTACAACGATCAAGAATAACGATGAAGGCGCTATATCAAGCAGGGTAGAAATGAATGTTGCATTTGTTATAGATAGGATAACAACAAGGGAAGGTTGGCAATGAAGATATTTCAGTAGGGAAAAAACTAGAATTTTGTTAATGACATTGAAGGCTCTGATATCATGTTAAATTCAGAGAATTGGAGATGGAAAAAGGCTTAGTTTTATTGCACAACATTATCTCTATTTATAGATCTATGTAAGATATCTTAATATGAAAACAAATAATTACAGAATAATACATAATTGTCCTAATATAATCCTTTCTAAATACGTCACCCAAATATGGAAGGAGATTGGCGTGATCCAGGTAAGCCTCCCACGAATCCCCATGCTGGCCATGGGATCAAGGGCCAAACGATGGCTAAGATTTAACAAGGTGAGAGCCTTCCACGAATCACCTTGCTGCCTTTGGGATAAAAGGGCAAAGGGACTGTTGGGATTTAACAAGGTGAGCCTCCCTTGGATCGCCATGCTGGCCATGCGATCAAAGGGCAAAGGGATGGCTGGGGTTCAACAATAACTTATATTTAGATTGCATCCCTCGATTAACCTATAAGACTAAGGGTATGTAGATATTGTTATTGTCATCCATGGAGAGGAAAATTGTGGTTTTGTTCATAGGAAAAAACAAAAAAGGGAAGTAATGTGATGATGGGTGATGAAGGTTGCAACAATGGGATCAATTTGAGGCAATGCAGCGATGAAAGCTATAACAATGGGAAATATTTGCAGCAATGCTACGACGAAGGTTGTAGTTATGGAAAAATAGGGGAAAATGAAGATAGTGTGGTAATGAAGAATTAGGATTGTGGTAATGGATAGATGAAGGTTGGAAATATAAAGAGAAAAAAAAAAACCCAGGACATGATACCATGATAATAATTAGAGTGAATTTATTTTGTATTTCATTCTAATATGTGTATAGTATTTATATAACCTAGGAGAGCTTATAATAAAAAGCATATAAAATTAGGGAATAATAATTACAATAGTCCACAAATTGATTTGTAGGTAGAATAATAATTACAAAATAATTGTCATAGTCCAGGGATCAATAAAGTGACAACAGAAGATGAAGGAAATTGAGTGGAAGTTTGGGGAGTGTGGGTCCGAATTAGTGGAAGTTATGAATGGGTTGACATAAATGAATTCAATAAATGAAAATGGTAATTCTATTGAACTTTTATATTATTTATTTAAAAAAAACATAAAATAATTATTACCTTATCTTATTTTCATTCGAATCATATCTAAATGATGTTGGAAATATTCAAGCTACATATTTTTTTCATTCATATGTGGAACTACACCTGCAATCTTGTTCTTTTTTTTGAATATATAAAGAAATCATTTTGGTAAAAATATTACATCTTGTGTTTCTTTAAAATGATTGGTTAGAAAATAGAAAGAATTATTGTAAACTAAAGGGTCACTGATTGTTTAATAATCATAGTTTAAAATAAGTTTCTTTCTATAAAAATTCTAAAAAGATAAAACGCTGTTGAAATTTATTATTATTTTTTAATTATATAATTCATTATTTGGAGAAATAATCATCGTTATGTATGAAAATTTAAGAATGAATGGTCTAGGCCTTATGCTTCTTTGTAGTAGAATAGGTTAATTCTTTGAATTTTTTAATCAATCTAACTTTTTGTTGTGTGCCATCATTAACATTTAATTGTTAGTGAATAGGGAAATGGAGTATGATGGTATTGTTCTAGAGTCTTGGTCAAGGTGGGCGCGATATGGTGTCCTGCATGATCCAGAGATGCGTAAGATGGTAAATTCTATACTACATTTGTATGTTGGTATTCTGCCAGTTCAATTAATTATCTTTTTTGCACTTTTGATAATCTATATAATATATAAAGTTGCAATGAGAAAGAAAATTTTCATTTGAATTTTTCAAATAAACAGTGAGGGAGTTTCATTTCAAAAAGTGGCTCTCGTCTAATTTTGTAATTTTTTTATGTAAGCATGAGAGATCCATTTTAAAATGAAGCTCTTGCCTAATTTTGAATTTTTGAATAAACTATATATTTGGCTACAATGAGAAAGAAAATCTCTCATTTGAAGATTTTAAAACCTATAAATAAAGAGAGATCTTCATTTTTAAATTGGACTCACTTTAAAATAAAAAGATTTCTATTATTCTAAAAGGGAGAATCAGTAGACATATGCTGAAGAATTTATTAAATTTTTCAAGGATTCTAGTGCACAAGCTTTCCCAGGAAAACCGAGCAACTTGAAAGGAAAATCATAAGCCATAATTTGAATATTTGAATTCAGATCTTTGTTATATTTAATGATAATTAAAGGAAAAAAAAGGGCAATACCATGGATTAATGAAGTTGATGAAGCAATTTTGGTAACTTTTTGGACAGATGCATACAGATGGACAACAAATGAAGTAATTTGGAAGATTTGTGAACCCTTTAGTTTTTGCTAGACTTAATAGCATCCATTAGTCTCCGCAAGTTGAATGTTGAGGCTCTCAAAACTTGCTGTAGTGAGTTTCTTTAGTGAGCATATCAGTTTTGTGTAAATTTGAAGGAATGTAAACATGTTGACCAGTATTATCATCAATTCTTTTTTTTTTTTTGATGAAATAATGATCAATCTTGACATGTTTGGTTCAATCATAAAGGACTGGGTTCTTTGCAATATTGGTGGTAGCTTTATTATTGAGGAAAAGTTGAAAATACTCCCTTGACTATTGATATGTGGCCAATTTAGTCCCAGAGTATGATATTTCTCCAATTTAGTCATTTAACTAAACAAAATTTATCCCAAACAATCCCTTAGGCAAAAATAGATGAATTGCGATACAAAATTGATCCCAATTTAGTCCATAATTTTACAAAATTGATCTCAATTTAATTTCCGAGGGGATATCTAGGATCAATTTTATATGGTCGATGACCTAAATTAGTAAAATGTGATACTCTAGATTAAATTGGCCTCATATGAATATTCAAAGAACTATTTTAGTCATTACTTCCTTTGTTATAACACAATATTTTCATTGGAATGCTTGATGATCTCTTCAATTCTTATAATATTCTCTCTACTTCATAGATTCCATGTGACATAGCCCTGAATCTCACTTGAACATTGCTTTGTTCCACAAGAGCTTGTTTCTTCTCAATGTGATTAAGTTTCCTATTCATGCATGCAATATCCAATAGTTGTTCTTCTGCTAGTAGCCCAGTCTGCATCAATAACTGCTTCCACATTATTATTGGGAGATTTCCTAAAATAAAGTCCTTTCTTATGATTTTGGTTCATATATTAAATGATTCTAAAACAATCCCCATATGCATTTTGGTGGGATTAATCATGAATCTTTGGGACATGCTAATCCGACGGTGGACGTTAATCAAAGGAAGAGACGAAGATCGATATCCGAGATCCCTCCTTTTTATCTTAGTTTATTAATTGTATTTTTGATTTAATTATGCATTTTCCGTTTTTACCCTTACTTAAGGGTCTTATCTTATGTAAGTCTAAGGGGCAAAGTTGTCTTTTAGTTTATTTTAAGGCCTATATATAGAGGCTCTTGCTCTTATATTAGACTGATGGATTAATAAAAAAATTATTTCTATACTTTGTTCTTGAGAGCTATGGGAGTTCTTAGGAGAGTGGATCCCTATGTGAGGGCAATGAAATACCTACTAGCCGCAGGATGTGTCTGGGCTCGTGATTGAGTCCCTAGGTGAGGGCATCGCATTACCCGTCAGCCATAGAATGTGTCCAGACTCACGGTTTATCTTCTTTCCCTATCTTCTTTCCTCTATCTTTTCTCCCCTTATTTTAACTTTCGGCCACCACCTTCCCCTTCTCTTTACCGCCGGCTTCAATCCCAACTCCACTACAATTTTTCGTTTCTCCTCCCGACACCCCCACCCCAACCACCAGCTAGTTAGCCTTGAACCCCACCGCCACCTAACCTTAACCAAGATCCTACCCGCCAACCTCCGACTTGTTTCCAAAATTTTCCCTAGCCCTTACTCCTTTCCTAATATATATTGTGTTATATTTGGAAGGATTATCAATCCAAGTTTTCAAATTCAAATTTGAAATCTTTCTTAATTTATGATAAGTTGAATTTGTAAAGTTTTCAATTCCTCAATCAATCTCCCATTAGAATTAAATTAAAAACAGATTGTTAAATCACATCTTTAATTTAATTGGTCTATTTTGGAAACTCTTGAATTATTTTCCCTCCCACTCTCTTCTGGAAATCGCTTGCCCCCCTTTTCATGCACAAGTTTGAAATTTCAAATTCAATAGCCTATTCATTACCTTCCTAAATTAATCTTTTGTTAAGTTGGAAAATGATGTAGGCAAGGGGGGGGGACTCATGTGCCAAATTTTTTGCTGCGGGTTGCCTCTCCGTTTGGATTTGGCTGTGTTTTGGGGGATGTTATGTTCCAGCTCACTAATGCTTGAGTTGTTGTTTTTTCAACTCATTATTTTGGGAAGTTCTCCTACTTTTTAGCTCATTATGTGGAGTGGATTCTTGCTCTTTCTCCTTGCCCTTCGGTATGCCCCACCTGGCTCCTTTTCCCGTGGATGGTTCCTTCCCCTTCGCTTCCTATTCTGGTTCCCTGTGGTGCCCGTTCTTGTCTCTCGTGGCTGCCTTTTCGGTTCCCTGTATGGCTCTTGGGGTGTTGCTTCTGGACCGCCCCTTGGCCTTCTATTTTTCCCTATTTTGATTAGTTCAGTTGGAGATATTTTGGGATATTTGGCTGCCTCATTTCTTCTATAAATATATGATGTTTTATAGTTTAAGAGAGAGAGAGTTATGAGCTGATTTTTGGAACAAAATCTGAGTGTTTTTTTTTTCGGAAAAACTTGCGAGCTTGTTCCGTTCTTCTTCTTCTTGGGAAGGCTTGCGAGCTTGTCCTCTCTTTCGTCTCGGGCTTCTTATCTCATTCTTCTCTCCGCAAGTGATCACTCCATCTGTATCTTTCTTCTCAATGAATGCAAGCTCCTTTATGAGTTATTTTTATTGTCTATTGTAAGGTTTAGATTGTGTCTTTCTATTTTTATGAGTTTAAAGTGTTATTATGTCCTTTATTTCAAGTTATGAGGAACTTGTTTGTTTCTTTTTGTGACCAAGGGTCTCCTACTTGTTTGGGGAGCTTTTGGTTGCATCAATTTGGTACCAGAGCCTATATTAGGATTTTCCTAGGTTGTTTGTATTGTCTTTAGGTGTTTAAAAAATGGAAAACCATAAAAAATTGAACAAGTTGTGGGTGAAAATTAGCCAGAAGATCCTGAAATCCAAATCCCTTTGGACAGATGGATTCTATCGGAAGGTAGTTCTACCGATCCGTTACAAAATGAATTATACAAACTACAGATGAAGATGCTTATGTTTACGGAACAATACATGAAAAAAGCGACTTCTGTCGGACTAATTCAAGCAAGAAAAGGAAATTATCCTGAATAAGTATGCGGCCGAGATTCAAGAATTGGATTCAGTGTCTTTCTCTCGTCAAAAAAATTCTTATACATCCTCATCAGGTGATGAGCTTTTTCAATCGGGGAAGAACCTGATGTAGGCAAGGGGGGGGGGGGGCATCTCATATGCCAAACTCTTTGGCTGCTGGTGGTTCTCGGTTTGGGCTTGGTTGTTCGGTTTTTGTTGTGGGAGCTGCTATTCTCCTGTCATTAATGTTGAGCTGCTGTTTTCAGCTCATAAATTGAAGATTCATTCCCCCTCTTTATGGCCCTTCGTTTTCCCCCCTGGCTCCTTTTTTCCCGTGGCTGGTTCCTTCCCCCCTTGGCTGTCTGTTCTGGTTCCCCTGGCTGCCCGTTCCTTCCCCCTTGATTATTTTGATTAGCCATTTGTGTTTTTAAGAAAAGACACACACCAACCTAGGATATGTTAACCTGGCTCTGATACCAAACTTGATGTGGACAACTAGATAGAAAAAAGCCAAGAGAGGAGAACACCAAGACTAGTAGAACATTTCTCGATTCAAAACATAGAATGCCAATATCAAACAAACCTCAAAACAAACAAAAGTCAAACAAACGAAAACTAAATTAAAAATAAAAATGACTACCCTCAAAACAACCGACTAGAAGTTTCCTCACATGCAATGAAATTGTATGTAATATAAAAGATGTGCTAAAGGGCATGGAAACCAAGGGTCCACCACAGCTACAAGGGCCAACGTCCACCAAAACTCCTTCGGCAAATGCTACCAAATCAGGCAACCAACCGCCGGCTAGCTCAGCTTTGAACCCCAACGCCACCTAACCTTAACTTAGATCCTAGCAGCCGGCCTCCCCTAGCCTTGTTTCCAAAATTTGCCGTAACCCTTACTCATTTCCTAATATAGATTGTGTTAGATTTGGAAGGATTATTAATCCAAGTTTGAAATCAAATTCAAATTTGAAATCTTTTCTAATTTAGGATAAGTTATATTTGGAAAGTTTTCAATTCCGCAATTTATCTCCTATTAGAATTAAATAAAAAACAATTTGTTAAATAACATCTTTAATTTAATTGGTTCTATTTAGGAAACACCTTTGAATTATTTTCCCTCCCACTCTCTCCTTGAAACTGCCTACGCCCCTCTTTATGCACAAGTTTGAAATTTCAAATTCAAAATGACCTCTTCATTACCTTCCTAAATTAATCTTTTGTTAACTTGTAAAGTTTCTAATTTGAATTTCAAATATTTTTTCTAATCAATAGATCTAATTTAGGAAGCCCCTCGATTCCCTCCAAATATGAATTTAATTTCAGATTTAACTACCCCA